GGAAATTTCTGCTCAAAGTTGATCCTTATTTCCATTACCTAATAAGGTATTGTACAACAAGGAACAGGAACAGGAACGGAACAACTTTGAACACCCCTAATGTTTCCTAACCAATAAGCATTTAGTGTAACAAAGGGGTTGTGATCACTTTCACAAATCCTTATTGGTTGGAAGACAGAATGCTATGATTTGAAGAACTCTTTAGGACTTGGGCAACATGTATAACGTAGATGATGAATGAATCCAAACCAAATAATTTGAATAAAAGAAAAAAAAATTCAAATACTAGTGCATATCAAAACACCTTCCTTCCATGCACATCATCATCATCAACAACACATACTTCTAATGCTTACATAAACTCATATTTAGCAAAGGAATTTCAAATGACAATATGAACATAAAAAATGAAGATAATTTTTATTATTTTACCTTTTTTTTAAAGTGTATTAAGGAAAAAATTTTTTTCTATACCATTCTGCTTAAAGACAATATGTTTTTGAAATGTAACTGGTAAGTTGGAAACAGTTTCAACATATATTATAATTCTTGTTAATACTCATTAGAATTGCTTTACTTATCGCCAATTTATTATATAAAAAATCTTGCCATTCTGCAAAACCGGTGGTCATTAAAAGATAATGATCGACGGTGCTCTGGAAATAAAATTGACACAATCATTTCATGGTGAATTTGGAATTGGAATTCTCAACCTTGGAAGTATCAGGATCTCCATCATGTCTTTGATATAACTATAGATACACTTAACTTTGCTGAATTAAACTTAATCGCCACTGAAGGCGACGATATCAATAACACATGTCCCAGAAAGAGATAAGAGACTCCATTGAAGACATATGCGAGATTATAAGGCTTTGGAAGGAGGATAAAGCTTACGATCATATAATCATGGCATACCGAAAGCAAACAATTTTCAGCATTTAAGTTCGAATTTGACCGAAAAAAAAATGCGTGTACACTTCTCGCTTCTAAAATAGGAGTAGTATCATAGGCGAAATGACTGGGTTTTTTAAGTATAAGAACCATCGCAATAGATTGGTTCATGATAAAACATGGAGACAATCAAAGAACAAATATAAAAATGATTTGGCCATAGAGTGTTTGAAACTGGCTACAAATGAACTGCAAATTTCAAATAAAAAACACTAACCTAGTTTATATATACTTATTCAGAATAAATTGTTATTACTATAACTAGACTTATTTCGAATAAATAAAATTTTTATTTGCGTTACTATTACTATAAGATGCGAAGTGTGTTTTTGATGTCTAATGTAATTTGCATGTTAACGTTAACGTTAACATTTTTGAAGTTGTCAAAAATTTTAATAGAAATTAAAACGTATAAAAATGAATGCAAAAATCTATACTTGGGTAATAGAAGAATAGAATGAGTGGTGTTGAAATGATAACGAAGCGTAGCACTGGTTCCAATTAATTTCTTTTTTACGCTAATTAGGAATCGGTCAGGTCATATATGAATGCTACTTGTACATTTGTAGATTCCAATAAAGCAGGGTGCGGTTCATTGGGTCCATTAGTGTAACGATTTAACCATATTTAGTATTTTATTAATATTAACGGCAATGAACCATCTGTTCTCAATGGACCAGTCAATTTGCCAACCTGCAATAAAGTAATAATTATCAATTAAACCTTTAAATTCAATATCAATCAACATTAACCGTTAATGTTAATTAGATGATCTTCTTTCAAATTGATTTATTACCATAGAAAATAGAAAATCTTAGTTTATTTATATATATGGTGGTATTTATTATTTTTAAACAATTGAAATCTTTATTTTTTTTTTTCTTCAATGTACAGTCAAAGCTCGTTATAGTGGACCCTTGGTTCCATATGTAATTTTTCTCCTTTTTTCCACTATAACGAAATTTTATTATGTTTTCCACTATATCGAGCGAAATTAATTAGCATTGGAAACAAAAAAGATCCACTATAACGAGATCCACTATAACGAGCTTTGACTGTAGTTAATTGTAATTTATGTATCATCAATTACATTTATATAATTATCAAAATCAAAATGATCACATGATAATTGTGATTGATCAATTTTAAAAATCGAATTTTTTTTTTTTTGAAATAATAAAATAAAAATTATGCCAAGAACTAGGCCAATAGTAACTATAGCGAAAAATGGTGTTGGGGCATTCATACTTCCATGTCGTATGATTGTATTTAATTATTGTGAACGTGGTGGAAGTAGTCGAGGAATAGTGTTAGTAGTAGTCGGTCATCAAACAAACAATATTATTTATTGATTGATAAATACGTTTTTTGTTTTAATTAGTGAATATTTAAAGAATCGAGTGATAGATTTTGCAAAAGAAAATCCACAAATCGAAATAAAAATATCACCAAGACCATCTAAACATCCTGTTGTTCGTGGAGTTTATTGTTAGTATCATCTCTATCGATATCTTTAACTATCTAACATTAATTGATTGATTGAAACTTTTCTTTCAAAATTGGCATAGTGAATAATAAAGAAAAAGATATTTGCGTAAAAAATATGAAAATAAATGAGATAGAGGAAAAAGTTCAATTATTAAAAGATAGTTCAGGTGTTACAGCAAAAAGACGATTTAAGAAACCGGTGATTTCAACTACACCAAGTGTAAGGGGTATTTGGAATCCATTCAAAACAAGATTATATGTAATTTAAAATAAAAAATCACAGAACAAATCATGAATCAAATAAAAAATAAAAAAAATTATCATCTATTTTAAAAAAATCCAGCAAAAATAATAAAAATAATATATTATAAAACTTTTAATTGACTTGTTAATACTTTGACCAATTTAATCCTTGTTTGATTGTCTTTAGTTTCTATATTAAATTTATTCTCTTTGAATGTGATTATTGCTTTTGGTGAATCTATTATTATTTCAAATGAATTGTTTCGTCTATCTTCTTGTATTGAGGATATTTGACATCCCAACTATTATTAATTTTTCATTAATTAAAAAGTCATTTAATCAAGTTTTTTTAAACAAAATAAAAACTAAAACTTACAATTTCTTCATTAATTTGATAAATTAAATCTGAAACTTTAACTTTTCCACAAATATATTTTTGTTGATTTAAATTATTTTGTGTGTTAATTATTGAAGACTGATTATTAAAAACTTTAAAAGTTCCATTAATAGATGCAAAACTAAAGTCACCATATTTTATTTGTTTAATCTCTTTTGCAAGCTATTATTTATTAAAATAAAAAAGTTAGTTTAATAAATAAAAACCAAAATCATTTTTACAAAAAACATAAACATTACACTTTCTGAAATAGTAGCTCTTAAAAATTGAGAATTTATTGTAATATCAACAACATCCAAATAATCATATAAAGTAATCATTGATGAAGGTAATTGTTTTTGAATATGGATCAATTTATCATTATCAGTTATTATTTGTTTCGGTAGTAAAATATGTTGAGGTTCTAATTTTGAACTTTTTAACAACATCTCGGTTACATCATCTACAGTTAGTCGTATATCAATTGGAATAAAAGTTGATTCTATTTGTAAATTTTCAAATGGTGATAATGCTTCAACATAATCAAATTCAGATTCTAGTAATGATAATAATAAAATCCAATTAAAAATTAATAATTAATCAATAATTATTTCAAAAAAAAATAAATTAAAAGAATACAAGCCTGTGAATATGATTAGATTTTTAGATGAACTGCCCCATTTTCTAACAAAACTAATTGCAGCACCACTACGTAAAGAGGGATGACCAGCAAAAACAACGCAAGGTTCTTGGTATTTTTTCTGAAGTGAACTATCAAAACGAGCAGCATAATTTAATAGGCCTTGATCAATCATATTTTTTAGAAACATTGGATTATCAGGCAAATACATCTTGTTTTGACGTTCTGTGCACATCCATTCACCAGATATATTTGAGTACTTTAATGATTCTTCAGCTACTGGTGAAACAGCATAGATGGGAACACTATGGAATCCTTTTGCCCTCAAATATTTTCCTAGATGTTCAATTATATCAAATATAACACCATTCAGTGTACATGGGAATAAAACATTACCTTTTGTTGCCAATGTATTTACTGTATGATTAATTACAAGTAATGTTTTTTGGTTTATTATTAATAAATAACATGATATAATATGCTAATGGTAATAATTTATTTGATTTGATATGATTTACTAACCAACAGATTCTCCAATTTTATGTAACGTATGTTCAAATTGCATCTCATTTTTTCCTTGACATAAATCACACATAACAATTACATCGGCAATATCCAATATAGTCTTATCAAATGGCAAAGGATGAATATTTAGCACTGTGGATGACGTTGAAACAACAGCCACCTTACATATGTACAAGTGTATATATGTATTAATTAATTGATTAATAGTAAAAATAATTTTGTTATTACCAAATAGTAACAAAATAAATACCTTTTCATATCCACAATCTAACAGCCAATTGGCACTACCTAATGAATGCCCAGAACTATAAGCGGTAACTTGTAATTCATGCAACATCTGATGAATAGTAATGTTAGAAAGTAAATAAAGTCCGAAAATATTCATTGCACATATCCCCCCAAAAAAAAAACACATGCGTATATAGTCATACCAAATGTTCATTAAATCTTATAGGTTGAATTTTGTCAATACAAGATTCAATATCTGATATTGTATATAAAGATCTGGCAGTATTCAAGTCTTTTGTGATACCAGTGAATATATTTGCTTTTCTATATAAAAAATGAATAAATCTATGAATATAATAAAATCTAATATAAATCCAAGATAATATGATTATGGTTTACCCTGGTTTTGTATTAACCTGGCTTCTAATTGGCAAACTACTCTCACCAAAATAATGTACTAATTCAGTCATCATTTGCCTATATATAAATAAAAAAATCAAATTAAAATCAAATCAAATAAAACACTCTTAAAAAAATTCATATATAATAAAGAAAATAATGTCTGTCACATATCAATACATTAACCCATCAATAAATACTCACCTACCAAAAGAAACAGTAGGTTCTGCCACATAAATTTTTCCTTTAAAATCAGTATACTCGGTGATATAAGGTAATGCCAACATTTGTTTATGATTGGTGATCAAAATGAAACTTATTGATTTCCAATCAATTGATGAAAATTCTGGTAATTCGACCAGGAATTGAGCATGTGATCTGATGCCTTTACCAGCTAATAATTCTATTGGAGGATCAATTTTACGTCTTTTAGTTTCTCTTTCATCCGTTGATAACAATAGTGAAGATGTTGCTGTTGTTGAAGATGTAAGTATTGTGGTTGATTCTATAGTTATTATTCAATGAATAATAAAAGTATATATTAATATTATTTCAATAACAATAATAATGATATTTTTATTATTACCAGTGGTAGTAATATTATCCGAAACTATAACCATGTCATTATTGGAAGGAAGATCAAATGAATCAAATGATTTTACATTACTACTAAGTTGTTGATCTATATTATTGGTAAGGCTGATTGTATCTCTAGGTGGAAACTTTATCAAGTATGAAATATCTAAACCACAATCTATTATGAAATTCATTTGTCTTAATTTTACCAAGAAACAATTTATTTGCGGATTTCTACTTAGAGGATGCTATATAAATGAATGAGTAAAAATGATTATAGTAATGAGAAGAAGAGGTTGTTCCGGAAAAAAAAACGAATATTTACCAACTTCATTTTTGATTTTTTGTCAATGTAGAGCTTTTGGTGATCGACACATTTTTTTCAGGTCATGCATGACTAAGGATTGGTGGTGGACAGCTACCATATATGGAAGTGATTTTGTGTCAATGTGCACATTACAGTTCACCTTGATGTTTTTATTTTTATTGATAACCAACAATAAATCATTGATGGTTTTGGGTATAATCCTATTTTTTTATTAATAACTAACATTCCTTATACCTTTTCCAATGCATATGTCGAAAGAATATTTCCACAACAAATCTGATGATAAAATTGAGAAACAGAATGTAGATCTCTATGTATAACGGCCCTTCTGTTTTTGCTGTTATAGTGAAAGATCGTCATAGACAGAATATAAGATATATGAAATAATTTTACATTTAATTGGACCAAACTCTCGGTCCGTTATGTTATATATAGAGGGAGTGAACTGTATAATAATAATAGTCTGCAAAAACAGAAGGGCCGTTATAGAGAGTGTGAACTATAGAGATTATTATGAAATAGTTTTGAATTTAATTAACAGTCCGTTATAGAGTGAAAACTGTTTAATTAGTATTAGTGATCGATGGGGTGCATTTTATATAGTGCATCTATATATAAACTTAATAATGATCAGCAGCAAAGGGTCTATATAGCTCGAAAACCGGATAATTATCATCCCACTATGTTGTAAAACTTTACACAATAAGTAACCACGTGTTGTTCATCAAAGTCAATGCCATCCGACAACATGTTTCTTTTAATGAAAGAAATCTTTGACACCAAAATCTCATAAATCTATTGACTAGAACTTGAGATAAGGCCGTGTAACAAGAAAAATTTTGGTCTTTTTTACCCTGTGTTTACCCCATTAAGGAGGTTACACGTAATATATAAAAGTAAAAAGTAACACTATCAAACTAATCCATTTTTTTAAAGATAATAAAAAACTAGATGTATAGCTTTTAAAATGGAATCCAGGGTGACAAATTTAGTTGATTTTTGCTGTGGGATGATAGTTCATTTATAATTTACCCGGTGTCCTCTAATAACAACACCATCAAATTCAAAAGTTTTAAAATTAAAATTATGAAATATTTTATTAATTGAGTAAAGGTATTTAATTATTAACAAGTTAAACAACAGTTTCTTTGTCATCAATGCTGTCATTATTACTATTGTCATTATTTTGATTATCTTGATTAATTGCATGATTTGAATTGTCAACAGGTGATTTTCTGTCATACTCTGATTTAAGAATCAAATCTTGCCTCAATCTATACAATTTAGTATATACAAATTGACCTGTGCCACACATCAAAGAAAATGTCAAAAATCCAGGAATTATTCCTTTTTGTCCACCTTTATAGATATATATATATTTAATGATAGTTAATAAAAATTATTTTCATAAATAATGGATGCAATAATAAATTGTACACTCACGAGCCATCGAAGATAAAAGTCCACCTGTCACACCTCCGGCCATAGAACTACTAATTAATTCGTCAATGTCTCTCATTTTTGCATTACTTATCTCATAAATAGCATTTTTGTTTCTTTGAAATGATAAACATGATTCTCTGATGCCTTTAATATCAAAATTACAAAGTAATTAACCAAAGATTTTTTCAAAATGACTTTGAATAGGTTTTTTACTCACTGAAAAATACAGTTCCAAAAATACCACAATTTAAACCGGTTGATAAAGAAGTACGAATAATAGATTGATTACCACGAATAAGTGCATAAAATCCGCCAGTTGTTGCACCTGCAAAAGCTACTTTCAGCAAACAAATGCAAATTAAATATAAAGAAATACATGAAATAAATGAATAAAAAATATTATTATTTCTTGCGATCAGAAACAACTATAAACAAACTTGATATTAATATTTCATATAAGATTTTTTTTGATATTTCAAGATCCATTTTGAACTTTGCATTGCTGAACTAATAAAAAAATTTTTTATAAAAAATCTAAATGATCCTTGCCCAAATTAAGAATTCGAACTTGATTCCCAATTGGATCGTCTTCAATTTGAGAATAGAAACAAATCATACTCCCAAAAAGGCGATTTGGAGTTAATATGACTCCTACCTGCCTGCAACTCTTTATTATTATGTAGAACATCTGGCTTAGAAACATACCAGCTTTACACAGTAAAGTTTCCCTTGAGTTTCAAGAACAATAACAAAACCCTTAAAAAAATTTTTTTTCGTTTCTAACCAAAAACCGCCAATTTACCTATTTAAATTATTATTATTACAAAAATTTAGGATCTCATACAATCAATAACGAATGTTTGATTGACTTATTAATTAATTAATATACATTCGGAAAAGGAATTATTTCAAAAAAGTGACATATGACTATTTAACAAGGGAGTGAGTGAGTGAGTGATAGGGCTTAATCCTTTATAATATGTATAATGGTATAGAATTATTTAATTAATATGAGTCAAAGGTGTGTGTGAATTGGCTAATTTTTTATTTGCTATTAAAAATAAACAAAGAAGTTAAGTTAGCTGACAAGAAAATAAACTGAAAACTTGTTGTTAAGAGTATTGAGGAAATAAAGTTTAACAATTGTAAACGGGTGACTAATTTTTTATTATTATTATTATTATTATTATTATCGGGTGATTTATGGGATGATGTTAATCCTTTTTCCGAACTACTATAAAAATAAACCTTTCAAAAATTATTTTAAAAAAAACTTTCTATCAATATGATTATAATAAATATCAATAATATATAAAAATGGAAAACTTTCAAGACAAGAAACGTAATCGAAATATGGATGAATTATCGCATCAATATAATTCTGATTATAATTTATTACACCAAAAACGTAGAAAGTATAATAACAATAATATAATTAATGAAAATACAACCTTATCATCATCATCATCATCATTGCCGTCAACGTTAAAAGATTTGAAATTGATAAATGAAAAAAATAATAAAGCCGCATTTGTTGAAAATTTGATTGGTGAGTGAATAGCTATTGGAATTTTTTTATTATAACCAAATATATTTATACTTATACGTGCGTGCGTACATGCGTAAATTATCCAGATGCGACTCGTTTAATATTAGAGGTGATTTGGCCTGGTTGTGACAATACAAAATCAAATTTATTATCTTTAAAAACCTTTTTGGAAGAAATTTTAAAAAGATCAAGAACTTCATGTTCAACCCTTCAAACTGCATTATTTTACTTAATTAGAATTAGGCCGAAGATTGAAATATTAAAAGAACAAATTTATAAAATATCTCCAACAGCGCCTATAACGACAATACTTTGTTGCAGAAGAATGTTTTTAATTTCGTTGATAATTGCATCAAAATATCTCCAAGATCGTAATCACTCCAACAAAGCTTGGTCGAAAATAACTGGTCTAGCTGTCAAAGAAATTAATTCTTATGAAATATTTTTTCTGCGATTGATCAATTACAATTTATACGTCACATATGACTCTTTTGAAAATTGGTGCGTTTTATTGTTAAGCAATATTCGATCGATATCAGGCGAAGGGTTCATACAACATGACGGCTTCAAGAAGTTAGAAAATCAAGACAAAGTAAATTCATTCAGAGAGATTTTAAATTCATTAAATATAGAAAGTTTATAATTTTACGATTATTCATTGTTGTTGCAATTATTTATTTGCTCTAGAATTATTGTGATGTTTACTATTATTAATAATACGAATTATTTCTATTTCAATATAAATAAATAAATATTAATGTTAGGGTGTCCAGGATTATGCTTTTTTTTTTCATAATCTTTGGGCAAATTCATAATAATATTCAGAAAAATTAAAAAAATACATGAAATTTAATTTTTCTTTTAAAGCTGTGCGTTTATCAGTTAAAATATACTTTTATAAATCGAAAAATATCTTTCAACATCAACACTGGACACAGGAAGTTTCACCAACAGTTATTTTATTTTTTATTAAATTTTTTAATTCCTGTACTTCAAATTCATAACTCATTGACAAATATTTTTCTCGAAGTTGATTTGAACCTACAATAATATAATCTCTTAGGAAATAATAAAAATAAAAATAAATGATAATTTACATTAAAATATTCAAATTAATTTATTTTAATTTTTTTTTATATGAAAATTTTCTTACCATTCTTACAATATGAATTAAAAAAATACTTTAATTTATCTATTTTGTCCAGAGGAATATCAGTTTTAGTAAATGCTTCAATTATTGCAATAGTGATTTTGTCATGATCATTATTAACGAAAGAAAGCAAAGAGCTTTGTAAAGATTGTGGATTATTTTTATGTTTTTGTTCAGCAGCTTTATGTTTCGTTGATTCTATATGGTTATCAACAATTGATTTTTTTTTCATGATTTATAAGTATGTGGTTATAAAAATGACTATTTTTTCCCAGTTTCAACGTAAAAATGATTATTATAATGACTTTTTTTTCCTCAAACGTTCTAGTGCATTTTTCATTCTATAATTGTAATAATATAATTATCGTCGATCACTTACATAAAAGTAAATTATACACGTAGATTATGTGATTTATGCGATTATGCTCAAAAATTAAGAAGTGTGCAGCGATTTATGTGAAAGCATAATCCTGGACACCCTAATTAATGTTACGATAAGGAAAAATAGAATTCATTCCTATTTATAAATAATAAATAATAACAAATATTAATTGGAACACAAATTGACAAGAAAGTCTTGAAAGACAATGTTTTTATTTATTATAAACTAAATGTTATGAATATTAAATGTTGATAAAAATAAAAATAAAAAATAAAAATAACATTGTTCATTTTCCAGCCCAATTAATTATTTACCAAGGACAGCTTCCTAAATTATAAAAAGTTTATATATTTTTTTCAAGTATAAGTATAAGATAAATAAAAAATAAATAAATAAATACCTTCACAGCATCAATGGCTTTGGCGATTATTCCCTCGTCTTTTTTACCTTCTAATAATCCATTATGTGAATATGATTATTAATAAAAATAATAATGATAAGATGATAATTTCAAATAAAATAATGATTAAACTGATTTTACCTGAAGTATCAATATTAGTAGTAGTAGTATTATTATTAATAGGCTGACTATTGGTAGGATCATTAACGACACCTACACCCTCAAGAGCCGTACTACCGTATTGTGGGACATGAGCAACATGTTCTCTTTCTTGCTCTTCAATTGAAGGATTTGAACCCACACCTCCTAGAGCTGAAGAACCATGAGTGGTCACATGAGCTATTGGATCTGGCGTTTTTTTGTGGGATTCTTTTTGATTGTTTTTATTAGTTTCTGAAGACATTTTTTATTTTTATTATTGAAATTAAAATAATTAAAATTAATTTTATATATATTTGATTTTTATTATTGAAATTAAAATAATTAAAACTAATTTTATATATATTTGATTTTTATTATTGAAATTATTATTAAGCTTGAGAAGGAATTGAGCATTCTATATATATACACGCACGATAAATTGGTTCTAACCAATAATAGTGATTATTTTTATTTGAGATGCAATAATGATGTAATTGGCGTCTACTATACTATATGAAGATTAAAATGATGTAATGAACGTAACGTAAATCAATTTTAAGGATTTTTTTAAATAAACAAGGTGGATACATCGATCGAAGTCCAATTAACATTTGAAATACTCGTATTTCGCAGCAAATTGAAAAACGTGTGAACTTTCTTTTTACAATAAGTTAAGAAATCTTTTGACCAAGAGGGTCGGCGATAAAGCAGATGCATCGGAAATAAACTAGTAGAAATGGAGAGTGCGTTATTTCTATTTTTACTTTAGCGCAAAAATTAAAACATTTTTTGCTTTTATATATATATATACACTCAATACCTTTTATCAAAGAAATTATAAAACGTAAATTCCCAGAAGAAGAAAATAAAAGAAAAGGGACAATAAATATTTGAAGAAGTTTACAAATATTAAACATTGCTCTAAAGGGCTTTTTAAACTTTAACGATGATCAATAAAACTGATCTATTCGCGCGTTCAATTAATATCACTCTTTGATCAAAATGAAATCAGAAACTTAATGGTAAATATGGATTCATTCTAAAACACAACTTGGTAAATATGATTTCATTTGATATTGTTGAATAATAAAGTTATCAACTATGTTATTTCCAGATGTCCAAGTAGTGAAAAAGCTCTGTAATTGTAAGCAACCTTCACAGAGCCTATCAGAGTATCTTGTCAATTTACACTTGTTACATTCTTTTGGTTTCCCCCATTTATTCCTTGCATTTCTTAATTCAAAAATATAATAAAATCTTCTTTACAACCTTCTTTTTCATTTTCAGAAAGCTCCTTGTTTTTTTTTTTTGACTAATGAAAAAAATATCTTTTCTACTTTATTCATAAGAATTAACAAAAGCATTATTATTTAATTTTTGTAAATTTTACCAAGTATTATTTATTATATTTAAAAATCATTAAATGTAAAATTTCCTGTTAAAGAGATGGAAGATGTCCCAGAAGCTTATCCGGATTTCTCGAGTGAGGAACCCACTACAACACTAATTCGCTCACCTGTTGCTATAGGAAAAACAAAAACCTTAGAGAGATTATTGGTAATGAAACTAGAGCAAAGTTGAAGTATTACAGAATTCGGGACTTCATGTGTGCCATTATCAAGAAATAATGGTGATTTAGCTATACGTGACTGGGATGTTATTACTGTTCAGGTCGAAAGTACCCATCGCCTTGCTCTTCAAGGGGTCGTTTTTATGTAGTTATCTTAGACGAAGTGAATGCCATCATGCATCAAATGTCAAGCGGGATCCATGCACGAGAATCTGAAAACGTCATGCGAGGTTTGTTAAGTCAACTGTTCACGTTGTGGCTATGCAAATGAATCGACTTTAGCCTTCTTGAGATAATATTGGGGTAAAAATATCCGAGTTTTTGATAACAAGTCACTGATTTCACTAATATAAGTTTTACAAGTTTGCTGTTCAGCAAAAGGACACGAAGATACATAAAATAAGAACTTTCTTTTCTTATCTATTATCGCCATCACTTAATCATAATTGAAACGACCAGCAGGCACAATTATCCAAAATGAATAATTTATTTCTGCCCCAAATTTTTTTTACGCATTAAGGTAGTTTTTTTATATTATTAATAATTAATGATAACAAGTTTATTATTATTAAAGGTATGTTTTTTCTTCTACAATATATATTTACATGTAGATATATGCATGTGGTGTGTTTATGCGTGTTTTGTATTATACATTTATATCATTAAAATTATTAATTAAGTGAAAAAAGAAAAAGAAAAATTATTAAGATATTTACTAATCAAATAAAAACAAAGGATTTAATCTAATTAGTTTATAACCAAAAATATATATATATATAGTATTTATTATTAATCATCGTTAAATAATTATGATGAATTGTTATAAGCTGCGTTATGAACCGCTTGTGCTCTACCAGATGGATCTTCGGGACAGCCTATTTTTACAAAAAAAAAAATTTTTAATTTTTTTTGTAAAAAACCATTCAAAAATAACCTCACAAAAAACAAATATATTTACCCCAATCAGATCTTGGAATCCATCTGTCAACACTTTGAGCACACACATCACCAGGAAACCATGTTTCAAATTGTTCTCTGTACCAATATGCTTCTTTTGTTGTTGGTGTGTCTATAGGCCATCTTTCTGCGGCTTTGGCAAATTCTTCATCACTAACATGATTTTCACCAGCTTCTTTCAGTGAATCAATCCAACTATAACCTACACCATCAGAAAATTGTTCTTTTTGTCGCCAAAGAATTGAATCTGGGAGGTATGGTCGTGGGTCACCAGTTGTTGATACATCAAAAGCCTTACGAAGAATATACTAATATAAATAATAAAAATATAATTATCATCATCATCATCATAGTAAATCAAAATTAAAAAATAAACTAATTTATCAATCAACCGACTAATTTCCTACCTTTTCCATTCTATTTTCTTTAAATAATTTTTCTTCTGGATCAATTGTCATTGCCACATCAAGAAAATCCTTATCTAAAAATGGTACACGAGCTTCAAGTCCCCATGCCATTGTGGATTTATTGGCACGAAGACAATCAGCTGTATGAAGATTTTTCACTCGTGTAACTGTCTCTTTATGAAATTCCTCAGAGTTAGGTGCAGCGTGAAAATATAAATACCCTAATAATAATAGGATTAAATAATAATATTATAAAATTAATTGACAATGTAAATATATAAATGTGTACATCAGAGTTGGCAATTGATGATCCATTAAATCTATCGGCAACCATATTTAACAATTTATTAATGCTAATAGACCAAACCAAAATACACAAGCTTCAATGGACCTGATAGATTGCCAAACCTGGTGTACAAATAATTTATTTCATTCGATTTGTAATAAAATAAATTACCTCCAAGTATTTCATCACTTCCTTCACCACTTAATACCATTTTAACACCCATTGCTTTAATTTTTCTTGATAGTAAGTACATTGGTGTACTTGCTCTGATAGTTGTTACATCATAAGTTTCCAAATGATAAATTATATCATGTACCGCGTCTAATCCTTCTTGAATTGTAAAAGTGTATTCTTGATGATCTGTATCAAGAAACTCTGCAACTTTACGTGCAGCTATTAAATCAGGTGACTCAGGAAGCCCAATTGAAAATGAATATAATTTTTGAAATTTGGTTGCTTCACCTTTTTAAAAAAAAAAAAAAATAATAATAAAGGAATATGTTTGTTAATTTTTTTAATTTATTTTTTTTAAAAAAAAAAAAGGAAATAATATATCATATACAAACCCAAGTCGCCATCATTTCCATTAGCTACAGCAGATAATTTAAGTGCTTCTCTTGATGCAATCGAAGCAATTAAACTAGAATCCAAGCCACCACTCAGTAATACACCATATGGTACATCACTCATCAATCTTTTTTTTACAGAATTTTCCAAAGTTGTTCTTAGTAAAGTATAATCGATCGGTTTTCTTGGTATAAGATTTCCATCCCACCAACTAGGAGTATAATATCTCGTAGTTTCACCAGTTTCTGAATCGTATATATGACCAGGTGGAAATGGAATAATTTGATCGCAATCTTCATTCAACGCTTTTAATTCAGAAGCAAAGTAAACAGTTTCAGGTGAAGAAGATGACCACCCTTGATACAAAGTAGTGACACCGATTGGATCGCGTGCAGCAATGAATCGGTTCTTATTGACATCCAAAAGTACAAAAGAAAAAATTCCGTCCAATTTGTTAGCAACCTCTTTTCCTATTTCAGCATACTATTATTATTGTTTGATTAAAAAAAAAGTTAATTCAAAATAAAAAAAAATTATTTATTTTAAAAATCGGAAGTGGAGGAGAAAAATATATAGTGTAAATATTTTTGAAATTACCAAATGAAGAATAACTTCACAATCTGATTGTGTCTTGAATTTAACATCTCCTCTAAGTGATTTTTCTAAGTTTTTATGATTATAAATTTCTCCATTAACCGAAAGAATTATTGATTCATCTTCATTTGTTAATGGTTGAGCACCACTCCCTATAAAAAGATAATTAATTTACAATACAAGTTTTAATAATTTGAATTTTCATATTTATAATTATATATATACATATATATGATGAATTTCTTACCAACACCAACAATAGCTAAACGTTCATGACAAAGAATATGATTGCCAGTGATTATACATCCATTCCAATCAGGACCTCTATGTCTCAATCTAAACAATACAAATGTTAGAATTCATTCGATCAGGCAATTGAATGGTTTAAAAAGTGAAGAAAAGAAAAGGATCTTGCATACTTTTTTGAAAGTAATAAAGCTCGTCTACGAAAGGCCTGTGCATCACCTTGATAATTGAATACAGCAAAGATACCACACATGATTATCTAGAAAGGATTTTAGATTGAATGTGAATATTTAAGAAAACATCTATCATATATATCAACATTATAAAATAATCCTTACATAATTTTATTGGAAAATATATTATTTGAATAAAACTTTGGTTAATTATTAAGGAAGAAACTATTATTATTATATCAGAATATGGCAACGATAAAAAATTTTTGAGCTTTATATATACTAAAAATGTTACACATAAGATATATAGATTGAATATCATATCATAAATGTAATACTAAACTTACAAGTCCGGGTAATAGCGATAATAATAATTGTCGTGTATTTTAAGAGCGCCATTGATCAACGAGGACCCGAATTCCAAAAAATTTAAAGTTTCTTTTCTTTTCTCTTTCTCCACCAACGATTTCTTCTCATGCACTATGCGATACGTCAAAACTTTATAAAATCAAATTAAAGATGCAAAAACTGGTTAATTCCAACAACGGGCCTACTGACAGTGTTACGATATACAGAAATATAAAATTTTTGCCAAATTTGTACTAATTTTTCGACGCTGGTCCCCAGTCCAAATCATAGGTAGTGTTGGATTTTAACTGATAAGATAAGATTGCTCTTTAAATTTATCAGATTTTTATTTGTTGTATGTAAATATTATCAAAATAAAATGTTTCATTCATTCACGATTGATATATACAATGTACTCTTTTGGTAAAAAAAATATTCCGTAATAAACTATTCTGTTTCGCGCGCCATGATAAGATTAGATTTAAAACATTACGTATTGTGTGTGTTCACTGCTTGTATTATGATTGAAATGACAAATGACAAAAGACAATTATTTATATATTATATTATGTATACAATACAATTGTTTATTTTATTATTTTTTTTTTGATATACATTAATTTTATGTTGTCCAAAATAGTTAAATTATATAAGTGTAAATCTAATAAATTAAGTTAAATTAAATCAAAATTCGCCTTTCCAATAAAGGAATAAATTATTTAACATATCTTCCTATAGCGGTAACAATTGATTCTTTATCTTTTTTATCATCAGAAAAGAAATAATAGGCTTCTGATGTTTTGAAATCAACTTTAAAAGAATTAAGTATCAAAACTTCAGATTGTGCATCTGTTACGCCGGCAATTTGTCCATCAAGCTCAAGTTTAGAGATCGGAAGTTTGTCATTCTCGTCACGGAAAAGATAGAGTGTTTTTCCGCGAAGTTCAAAGAAACGACGTTTCCAAAACTAAATGTTTTTAGATTATCCAACTATTATTATTAATTTACATACAAGATAAAAAAGATCAAGAAAGGAAAAACTTACATAAACTCCTCCACCTTGAACAGTAAGAAAACCATTTAACGCAACCTATAAATAATAATTGGCATCACAAAAATAATTACAATAAAATTACAATAATAATATAATAAAAATAGTAATATTCTTGTTATCATTAATTACCTTGCCGCTTTTTTCTAAATCTGCAAATTTGGATCGAAGTTCTTCGTTCCGTTTTCGTTCAGCTTCTTCACGAGTTTTACGATCCATTTCAGCTTTAACTTTGGCTTCAGCTTCAGCAGCAGCGACAGCAGCAGTCTCTGCTGCCTTTATTTTTTTTTCTTGTTCTTCGACAGCTCTTTTGTTTTTTTCTTCTGACGTTTTTTTTTGAAATGCTTCCTTTGCAGCTTGTTCTGCAGCTTGTTTTTGAATGATCGCTTCGTTTGCTTTTTTATCCGCATCTTCTTGTGCAACTCCTGGATTTCTTTCGATGATTTCATCGCTGTCGTCATCATCATCATAATCATATATCTCATTATTATTGTTATTATCCGGTAATTTTGATGATTTTGGTGAGGTTGGTGATGGAATTTGATTCGAAGAATCAATAGAATTGATGATATTACTAATATTATTATTAAGAGTATTACCTCTTTTTGGTATTGAAGACGATTTATCGGGTTCGCCAAGTTTCAAACGATTACGTACATTTGCTTCTGAAAGATCGTTTGGTGTTGAAGCACTAATTTGTATTTGATGCGCCTGCTTGACGTGATTATAAACGTTTTGAAATACATGTAATTTTAGTAATGCATCACCAAACAATTAATTAAAACCATTTCGAATGGTTTGATTCTTTTGATTAGGGTAAAAATCATTTATTCTTACCTTGAATAATGCACCAACTGCTCTACCATGAACTAAAGCACGGGCTATAAATATGGATCGACAAATCGATAGATGGATGGATAAAATGATAAATGATTAATTTTTATAGATTAATTAATCATTATTACCATTATTATTTTATTTTAATAATTATTTTGATCTGTAATAATGATTTTTTACCTCTTCTTACACCACTGATTATGTTATATTATTTAAAAGATAAATAATTAGTGATTGATTATTTTTACCCTTGTATAAAAAAGTAAAATGATTGAAATTTACTATCATACCTGACTTGTTCACTAACATAAGTTAATAAAACAAATTTATTTTCAATCCTTATAAATCCATATAATACTTCATCTTTTAAATTACTTCGAAGCCCCTCAAGTCCATGTGAACCTTTTGAGTATAAAGAAATCTTATCTCTTGTATCGTTATATCCAAGGATAAGCCTAAAAACAAATAAAATATTAAATCAATGCTATTTTTACAAAAAAAAACATGCGTGTGTTTAGATTTAGAAGAAAAATTTCAAAGAAACTAACCATTCGGTGTCTTGACCATTTATGATCTCTTCATACGCTACTGTGATGGCGGGGTCACTTAGATCACAAGACATTTTTATTTTATTGTATTATGGTTGTTTCTATTATTATTATTATTATACACAATGTAAAATTTATATATTTCTAATCTTTGAAAAAATAAAATCCAAAAGTTTTATTATTATAAATAAATATTATTAGAAGGAATAATTCTTTTTTGTTTGTATAATTGGTTAATTTGATTATTTACTTAATTAAGTTTTTTAGTTATTATTGTTACAAAATTAAAAATCCAAAATTTACACGACATGATTTCAAAGCAAACAAGAATTAATATTTTAAATTATTTAATTAATTTAATTAATTTAATTTAAATTTAATTAAAAAATAAAAAAAAATAAACCCTGAAGGAAGTGAAAGAAATGAAGATCAATTTTTATTTGTTGCATCAATCAAAATGCCAATCACATAAATATTACATAATTGAATTCCACATCTATGTTTTGTAAACAAAGTAGCAGATTGATGGCGAGACGTTGTGGCAATAGACTTTTGATCAATCGACTTAGTGGACGACTTGTGTAGGATGCTTCCGGTAAAATTTTTTTATTATAATTTCGAGTCTCTTTTGATTTCTGCTAAATCCAATTATTCTTTGTTTTTCTTCAGAAATCTTACGATGACTATACAATATTTACTAAAAATATCTCTGATTTCCCAACATTTTTTCATCGATTCAGCATAGAATTCAGGTAATCTCAGGTCTCGTTCCTCCCCGATGTCAAATATTAGATGATCATGTGCCACATCATAAAAGATTTTTTGTATAAATAACCTCAGATGCTAGATATGGAATTATAACATATTCCCATTATTGTGATGACTTTTTAACTAATCTATTATATTAAAAAAATAAATTTTATTAATAAAATGACTCATTTTATAGTTTAATTTATATTTAATAAGAACATACACAGATGAAATACTACAAAGAGTTCTTATTTTATCTTTCCGTGTGAATTCTATAAAGTCTTTTTTTAACAAATAGCTATGCAAATTCCCAAGCTTCGTATAATCAAAAATGAATAAATAATCATCTTGTTTAGGTCTTTCGTTATCCCAAACAAAACATAGATCGATAAAAGAATGGGCAAATTCATAATGTGATCTTAATTGAAATGATTGATAGTGGTGGTAATCAGGGCTGGCTGCGTAACTCAAATGAGCACGTTGGCTAAACTGACTAAACTATTTAGTCATATTAATATGTTAAGTCAAGTTTAGTCAAGTTTAGTCAAAATGATTGTTACTAAATTAGGTTTTTAACCCTTTACGCTGCCAGCCCTGGTGGGCAATAAACAGGTTAATTTTATTTTTTGAATTATTCGTTTTTCCAAAATGCTTTATACTGTAGATTTCCCCAAATCCACCTTTAGCCAAATATATTTATTCTACACTATCAAATTCATTAAAATCCGCCCATTTAATATAATTATGTCCGTCTTTCACATATTCATAAAGATATTTAGCAATTTCTTTATTTCCGCACTGAATACTCTATGTTGACAATAACCAATTTGTTGGTTTCTTTGTTATTCATTTTTATAATTTTCAAAAATCTTTGTGTTTAAATGTCGTATTTAAAACATAAATGTTTGAAGAAAGTCATAGCAAGAAAAACAGTTGATAAAATTTATGATTAAGTCCTTGGCCAAGGCTAGTTAATTACTCCGTATAGAGAGATTGCAGTGAACGAACAACATTTTATTGACTATTTCGTTGATTTGAAATCTTAATAAATTCATAATTCCATATAATCAAAATATCAAATAAAAAATAACCCTCTTTCTGCGTGTACAACTAAAAGTTTTATTACTCACTAACTCAAGTTTCATCACCAAAAAATTAAATACATAATATCTACTAATTCCAACTAGCCAGTCAATATTCAACTAAATCCGCTGCTAATATTTACATAATTGCAGTGGCTTAACATAGAATAAGATATACAGTCAAACCTCGTCACAGCGGATTGATGGTACCAGCTAAAAAAATTCGTTGTGACAAGAAATTCGCTGTGGCAAAATTGACGATCGGCAAAAAAATTTTTAATAATAATAATAATCTAAATATAAAGTACAGAAATAAATTATTTGTTGTTTTAAATGCTTTAAATTCTTTATAATCTAATTGACTTTATTATCAATTGTTTTATTTTAACAACTTTGTTACTTGCACACATTCGGATAAATAATCTATCAATTGTTGGTTTATTAATATATTTTTAGTATTTTGTTACTCGCAAAAATTTGGACAAATAATCTATCAATTGTTTGTTAATTGGTTTATTTTAGAAGCTTGAAAAAAAGTTGTTACTCGCAAACATTTGGACAAATAATATATCAATTGTTTGTATTGGTTTATTTTAGAAAATTTGTTACTCATAAATCTTTGGATAAAATTGTTTGTTTTATTGCTTTATTTTAATACTTTGGTAATTGGGGATAAATTTCATAATTTACATGTCACGTGAATCCTCTGTGATGAGACTAGTAACCATATTAATATAGAAAGACCCTCATCAAAAATCCGTTATAAAAAAAGGAACCAATATTTAAATCCGTTGTGGCGAAGTCCTCTGTGACGAGGTTTGACTGTAGTTAACATTAATGTACTAACAAATTTACGCTTACAATTGTATAACTGTTTCCCGACAACATTCTCAGCATATAAAACATCAAAGATTATAAGCTCTGCCACCACAGCTTTTCTCTTATCTTGCCTTAGATCATCAAATCGTTTCTACGAAGCTCATTGTTCCGTGTTTCATACATTGAAATAACACACCATTATCATTCATTTATGATATCATTGACAAATGAATTTAAATGAAATCAATGAAATGAGATAATTGATCACAATTTCAGCAAGTCTCTTGGCTAAACACGCTCACTCTAACCATATAAGACAGGTCAATATATTTTTAACTGAAAATCATATTGATATTCGTATAGTTGTTGATGTTCTTCACTAATTCTTTAATGAACCCGTATCTGAATCTAGATAAAATAGAAGTAATTGTGAAAATAATAATAATAATAACAAATTTTTGTCAATAATTTAGCATTTGGTATTGGAAATATGTAAAAGGACACGAATCTCGAAAGTTGATTGGTGGATTTTTTCCGTTTAGAAAAACAAAAAATGAGCTAGTACTACAGTGCGGATCATCTATACTCAAAAGTTAAAATTTTTGAAATATTATGTGATCCACACATTGGATTTTAAAAAACTTACCACCATTCAATTCAGCTTTAAAAGGGGAGTCTATTAATCTAAAAAAAAATTTGTCTCAAATTTTCTTTTCATAGATTTTTTAAATTTGAAATAATTTTCGTGTTACAATATTTTGAATCTCACGACCAAATTTGGTAATGATTTTCTTTTAATGTAATATGTTCGTTAAACTTTTTTGTTGTAAAGAACTTTTATTTATTAATAAAAAAAAAGGAAATAAATAAGTCAAATAAATCAAATGTATGTTGTAGAAAATATTCTATGAAAAAAAAAAAAGTTGTTACACGAAATTTACTTAGTCTCACTTTCTTAAGTGTATAACAAAATTCGGAATTTTCAAAATGCTAAGGCTCGGCCAATTTTCAGTTTAAGAGAAAACCAGCCGATAAGTTTTGAAGCTTGAGTCATGAACAATAAAAACTTATCGGTTAAATTTTTTAAAATGATATAATTTTTTTTTGTTTTAGTATTGAAGTTGACCAATTGTTACTATAAGCAATTAATGATTATAGATGATCTGCACCGTAGTTAGTAAATCTATGACGTATTTTTTTACTATTTGGATTTAAATTGAATTATAGTGTCGCAATCATCTTTCCCTTTCGAATCATAGTAATAGTGTTGGCGATGAAGTTTTCCCGGTCCTCTAATTTCATATGACACAAAAATTGCTTTGCCTGATTTTGAATATGTATGGCTTATAACAAAAATTTTCTACTATGCCCAAAACAGTCACACCACCTATTAAAAGTTTTTACCCAAATTTTTCACGTAACTTCAGCAAAAAAACAATCAAAATCAGATGTTACCTCAATTTATAATCCGGGATCCTGTGCTATATATTAAATATTAATATGCAGTGTATAATTCGTCATGTAACTAGTCCAAATTTATAACAATACTAATGTGTAACGTGATACGTTCCATTTGTTCACACATTACCTCACTGGTGCTATCATTAAAAATCGATACGAATAAATTTAACGGGGCGTTAGAAGTGTAACAGTCAATAAAAAATCTGCACGTGCGAACTTTATTTGAATATAAAAAATACAGATAGAAAAATAAATAAATAATTAATTAATTAATACGCACAACAGAGATGTATTATTAATTAATTGAATCACTGGTCATTATGCTTGTGATTGTGGACGTGATTTCATATTTATAGTACGTGACAAACTAATATTACTAGTTCCACCAGGACTACTGATTGTATGCCTATTTGAAGGTCCAGTCTTAACCACCGAACCTAATCCTATAACAGTCCAAAACGACAAATTTTTCATAGCTTGATCATTGTTATTAGGTGATGTTGAAGAAAAAGAGATTTTTTTTGCTTTTTTAGTTGAATTGTCTTTGGTTTGGGTGTCAGTGTCATTAGTTTTAGATCCAACTGCAGATTTATCATTGCTTTCATTTGATCCAGGATCTGTCTTGGTTGTATTATCTTTGTCGTCGGATTTGGTATCAGTAGATGCAATTGTTGATTCATTGTTATTATCAACATTCTTGCTAGCATAAGTGACTAATAATGCAAACTATAAAGTAATAAAATATAAATCATTAATACATTTATTATTATTATTATTATCATTATTATTATTATTATTGCTAAACCTTAAATTCTTCAACTTCAACTTCAGGCTTGATTTCCAAAATGATACTTGTAGAGTTACTTCTTCTTTCATAAATACCAATGTCTGATTTAGGAGATGTGTGAGAACGAGGTTTTGAAGAGATCAAATCATGTTCATCGTATTCCCATACTTCATTATATGGTGCAATACTAAAATGTGGCGCAAGAACTTTAATCTAATAAATAATATAATAATAAATAAAGAAAATATTCATCAACAAAAATCAAATTCACACACGTCTAGACATAAAATATATATAAATTTTTGATATTTACTTTTCCAAGCTCAACATCTTGTACATTCAGATCCAAGATAATTTCTTCATATAACGGGTTTGAAAATTTTAAAACAATCTGAGTGGTTTGATTTAGTATGAGTTTTGGTAGACTCATAATAGTGATTTTTGGAATATAAGCTCTGCAAGATTAAAAATAAATAAAATTGAATCAGAAGATTTTTTATTTTATGATACTTTTTATAACAATCCACTTACAACGCAACAAGTTTAATTTTAAATCTAGTTGCTTGAGCTTTCTGTTCAGGTTTTATTAATATATGCCGACATTGTCTACATCTTTTAATACGTTTTGTACGAAGATGTATACGCTGTGGTTGAAGGCGTCTATTAAAACAAATAATAAATTAAAGTTAATTTAAGTTAAATTGTTATTTTTTGATTGGTTAATACATACTCTACTTTGTATGGTTGATCACTCAGTTGATTCATTCTTTGCATCAATGTTGTAACTTTTAACAAACAAATAAATTGATTAATTGATTAAATGATTAAATGATTAAATGATTAGTTAATAAATAGTAAGTAATTGTTTTAAAATAATTACTTTGATTGACATCTTTCAATTGGACCAAATCATCAACTAATGAGTTCTCATTTTCAACTTTAACAACAGCTTCATATAAAGCAAGATCATCTGATTTTTGTTGGGCATTACCAGCAACAGTTCCACTACCATATCTACTACTAAAACTGCTGCTACCACCTATTCCTGTGATTGTCATTAATGAAGTAGGTAATGTTGTGGCCGGAGTAGTTTGTCGTAAATGTTTTTCAAAATGTTCTTTAAGATGATCAAATTCTTTAACATCGGGTCTCTCGTCTTCAGTTTTTTGAAGTTGTACTAAACTCATCATCATAACGAACAAATAAAAAAAATTAAAAAACTATTTTTTTTTTACATTCAAAAAATTCACATATTATTATAATTACATGCTAATCCGGTTGCTTTCTCAAAAGTCATTCCAATTTCTTGCGAGTCCCATCGACAAACCCCACATGAAAGATAGTATGGTGCACCGCTAATTAGTGCTGGTGTAGCAGATGGACTTACTGCTGTAGTAGTAACAGCTGTAGTAGTTGTTGTTGTAGCAATTGCTGTTGTTGTTGTTGTTGGTGGCGTCGGTTCAGCAGAAGCCATAACTGAAAGTGTATTTTGGCATATTGGACATTGAAAACAATTCCTTGCGCATCTTTAAATAAAACAAACAGTAACAATAATAATAGTAGTAGTAATGGTTGATTTATTGATTTATTGATTGAAAAAGACTTTAGTCAAATAAATAAATAAAATATGCACGTATGTAAATATTATGCTAACTTGCTAACAAACCTATTAGCAGTATTGCTTACAACATACCTATTCCGTTCGCTTTTAACACTAGCAGTCGGAACTTCAAATAAACAATTTGGACAATAATAGCAAACTATTTCTTCTTGTACACATCTTGGACAACGTATTTGATGACAGTCATCACAAAAATAAAGCTTGGATATATTAAAGGTTGTAAAATGAAAACGTGGCGAGTTGATATTAAAAGGTGGTAAAGTAGTAATGGTTTTTGTTGTGGTGATAGTAGTTGTAGTTTCTGTTTCTGTTTCTGTTTCTTCCGTTAAGGTAGTTACAACATCAGAAACCTTTGAAACAACCTTTGTCTCTTCTTTATCATCTTCAGGTTTAAGTAGATCGGGACATGAACAATGATAATGTACATAAGGACGCATATGACGCATTTCGGTCGACTGCGAAGAAGAAATGCTAGTGCTAGTTGTCATTTATTTTTATTTCGTTTCGGAAAAAATAAGACTTTTTTAATATCAATATCAATATTTAATATATTGATCACAAAAATTTTTTATTTAATATTAAATATTTATTTTTTATTATTTCAATAATTCATTACAATTATAAATTAGATGTAGTGCGGAAAAATATATATACATCTCTCTTTTTACCTTCCTTCATTCCTACCTTTACAGCAATTAATATTTTTTTTAAAAAAATAACAAGATTCAAACAAACCAATGTTTTTTTTAATAGATATAAAAGAACAGCATCAAAGAAGAAGTAATCTTTTTTTTTAAAAAATAAAAGCAAAAATCTAAACATTAATTCTCTTTTTGAAAATTCCTAAATAAATTTTTCAAAGAAAATGATTAATTATATATAAATTAATAAAGAACAACACAAGCAAAGCAAAATAATATGATTTTTACCTTCATTATCAGGCCCCGGAGATCTCTCTCTTTTCCTAGAAAAATTAAAACCGTCGATCTTAAAGTTATTATTGTCATTCATTAATAAAGAATCTTCTAATTCAAACTCGTTAGTAATTAGTTCTATTTCTCCTACTCTTCCTCTTCCTCTTCCTACATCAACTTCCCCTCCTTCATGATAAAGAACTTCGTCCATTAACAAATCATTATTCTCTATGTAATCGTCAACACCTAAAATTGGTTCTTGGGCCTCGTATGATTCATTATCTATTCGATAAAATTGTTTTATTAATTATTTCTCATTAAACAACAATTTTTTTATATTATCAATGTATTTATTTATTGAATGAAAATAAAAATAAATAAATTTTAAAAATCTTTACCATTAAAAAATTGTTGAAAACGTGAAATAAATCGGACCTGTAGTGAAACCATAATAACAAGATCGCTTGAAACAATATTATATAATTTTTGAAACCCTTTATGAGCTTCGATTATATTGCCCAATGTAAGTTTATCGGCGTATTTATTATCCTTAAATTGATTAAAATTTTAATTAAAAAACCATTAATGATTAAGATAATAATACAATACTTTCTTTTTAAAAAAAACTTCTTTTTACCTCTGTCAAAATTAATTCGAAATCTTTGACCGAGTCAATAAATGTTAATACAACTTCATGGTCTTTTATTAAATTTTCGTCACAGATCAAATCAACCTTTAGGTCTTCCATAAATTCACCTACGATCTTGTCAGATTTTATGAAAATGGGATTTTCATTCCCTTCATATGCCAAAATACATCGAAAACGTTCACCACTCATTGTACGTGAATGATGTAACACATTATTTTTATCAATCTTGGTTTCCAAATTGCCAGTAGCTTCAGTACGCATCATTGATTCTTCTTCATAAAGTATTTCACCGTTAACATGGTCATCAACATGAATTTGATGTTCATCATCAATAATCTGGCCATCTTGAACATCATTAATCACTTGGTCAATCACTTGATTACCACCTCCTTCGACATAAGTTTCATCGACTTCACCTAAAATTACTTCATTGACAATAACTGAATTACCATTTTCTGTTGAATTTATTTTCTCGTGAATTTCTTTATTGTCTAACCTATCAGTTACATTATTATTACATTCTGAATTTATATTATTGTTATCATTATTATTATTAAGTTGTTTACCACCTTCTTTAGCCTCCACTTCTTTTTTTATTTTGTCTTCTGCTAATAATGATTCAATTTCCTTTACATTATCATCATCATCATGCAAAGGAGTTTCTTTTTCAAATAAATTTATTTGTTGTTGATGTTGTAGTGATTGTTCTGATAACAACCCTTTTATTGACAACAGTCCTTCTATTTCTTCTTCAATAATCACTTGGTCAACCACTTGATTATCATCTCCTTCGACATAAGTTTCATCATCTTCACCTAAAATTACTTCATTGACAATAACTGAATTACCATTTTCTGTTGAATTTATTTTCTCGTGAATTTCTTTATTGTCTAACCTATCAGTTACATTATTATTACATTCTGAATTTATATTATTGTTATCATTATTATTATTAAGTTGTTTACCACCTTCTTTAGCCTCCACTTCTTTTTTTATTTTATCTTCTGCTAATAATGATTCAATTTCCTTTACATCATCATCATCATGCAAAGGAGTTTCTTTTTCATCTTCTGCTAATAATGATTCAATTTCCTTTACATTATCATCATGTAAAGGAGTTTCCTTTTCAAATAAATTTATTTGTTGTTGATGTTGTAGTGGTTGTTCTGATAACAACCCTTTTATTGACAACAGTCCTTCTATTTCTTCTTCAACTTTGACTTGTTGTAGTTGTTGTTGTTGTTGTTGTTGTTGTTGGTCATCCAAGTATTCGGCATCATCTTTTTTGTCGTTGAGAATTTCTTCAAGCTCAGGGTCCTCTTCTATGTAGTTATAATCTAAATTTGGAGAGCTACTACTATCTATATTCGAGCCATCATCTTCAGTTTTATTGTGTTCATTTAGATAACCTTCGTTTAATGAGGTTTCTTCTTGAAGCCAACTGTCAAAGTCCTTTTGTTCCAAGAATCTTTCAAAGTCTTCAGTTTGTGTGGTGGAAAGTAAATCCGACATCCTATTTTTTTTTTAATAAAATAAAAAATAAAATAAAATAACGTTAGTAGTAAAAAAGTTTCAACGTGTTTGGTGGTATGTTTAATAGATATTTAATAGAACTTTGTTATTAATATATTCAATAAATTTATTTTAATTTTATTGAAAAAATAATTTATTTCTTGTATGTTTGTTTATGTAGTTTATGAAATAAAAAAAAAGTATAGAGGATGATACTGTATTTGGGAAAAAAATATTTGTAATACAATGTTTGTCATAATAATACGTCCCACTTTTTTATATCTCATTTGTAGATCTGCAGATTGCACGTGATAAAAATATCAGAGTTCTTTTGCTTCTTTTTTGTGTGCTCTTTTGGCTTTATATTATTTATATTATTAGTCAGTAATTGAAATAAAGATTCACTATTATTTTCAAAATCTTCTTTAGAATTAGTAGAATCACCATTGTCCATAAAAAAAAATATTTAATTAATCTAAACTATCTAAAATAATAATTTCTCACTCGATTTCATTTGTTTTTCTTGTCTTGATTACACAGGAATTTGAGTTCCATCCGTTTTAAATATTTTAAAATTTTTAATTTTGTGACATTTTTACTTTATTATTATAATTTGGGCCGATATTAATAAAATTGGCTGGGGTCCTCATTGAACTTATTCAATTGGTTTTTTTCAGATCAATTTATTTTGGATGTATTATAATTGATATTACATATGTAATAGTAACCGAAAATTTTTTTCTTTATTTTTAAATTATAATCCAATCCAACTTGATCTTCCCTCGACATTATGAATGATCGAAGAGTCTAAATTGATTTTATTTTCCTCGTCTTTATCATTTTTATTTAATAATAATTGGGAATCGGTTGACCATTCGTACCAAACTTTTTTATTGTTTGTCAATCTCCAGAAATGTATATCTAAATTTGAATTTTTTGGTAAATAGATTGGTGTCTGGTAAAGCAGTCAACCACAATTAATTGATTAATTAATATTAAAAAGCTTCAATTAAAAATAAATAAACAAATGATTATCGGTCACCTTTAAAGGAAAAAAGATTGGAAACCAACTAAACATTCCTTCGGAATAAGTTGAAGGATTTATGCTCATGACAATGTTCTTGTATAATATTGATTCAAAATATCCAGCAATACCATGCAAGATACTATTACTACTTATATTAAATGATAATTTTGTATATCTTGTATTATGATAATTATTGATTGGACTATCTAATAATTAATTATTATTATTATTATTATTATTAGTAATAGAATAGTAGTAGTTGAAAAGATAAAAATAACTTTCTCTTTAATTTCAACGAACCATGATTATTAAATTTTATATTTTTATTTGGATGATGAAAATTCCATAATTCTTTCGGATCGGATAATAAATTAACTTGTTGAAACATTACAACGTAAGGTGTTTCAAAGTGCACTAAATCTTTATATGATGCTACTTCATTATAAAGCTTGTGTGATGATAATGGTGCAATGTAAGTTGTATATGATGATGGTATCGATATACCATCAGCTATCGAAATTATCAATTGAATAATTAATAATTAATAATAATGATAATAATAATAATAATAATAATAACAATAATTATTTTGTTTTTACTTACATTTTAAGAATTTTTGTGCACCATCCAAACACTCGGGTGACAATTCGTTATCGCCAAATGAACCTAACAATTCACTCACCATTATATCAGCCTGTTAAGATGTAATTTCAGGTATTATTAAATAAATTATCAATCAATTCAATTAATCAGTTAACAAATTAATATATATATATATATATATATAGACTATATACCTTTTCAGGAGCATTCCAATATCGCATATCAGAAAATACAATTTCTACTTCATCACCCCAAGTTTCCAATTTTTTATTTTGTAATCTAAAAAAAAATTAAACCAATAAAAAAATTTTTAATCATAAATTCAAAATATATGAACAAATACATATGAGGAAATTTTATATATTTACACTACAAATGCATTAGGGTTTTTTTCAACCGCATAAACTTTAATTTTTCTTTTTGCCTTTTCTGCAGCAATCAAACTTTTCGTCACTAATGGACCACGGCCTGCGCCTACTACCATTATAACACTTTTCACAATATAATTTTTATGCGATAAATCAAAAAATTCAGTGAAAAATTTCAAAAATTTCAAAATTACATACGTGACTTCATCAGATTCAAATGGAACTCGGTCAAGCAATGCGTGATAAATTGCCTAAAAACATTAATATTAATATGATTCAATTTTCAAATTTAAGAAAGATTAATCGGCACCTTTTCATAAAGTTGATATTTTATAGGATCTTTTTCAAATGTCTCGTAAGTCGATGATTCTAAATTATCCATTAATGGCTAATACATTGATTGATTAATTGTTGTTAATTAATTTATAATTCAGTAATAATTATTGTTAAGAATTACTTGTAATGGAGATTGTAGATAATCTTGATATCCCATAGCAAATTTTTCAACTGAATTTAATTCTGGCAATTTACGATTTAAATATCTTAAATATTCATGATAATTCGATAATTCTTCATTTGTGATTTGTTGTTGATCTACCGAATCATCGAAAATTATGAAACTTGGTTTAAACTTGAAGCGAGGGAAAAAAAGATTTGTAAATAATAAATAATAAATGAAAGAAATAAATTAATAATTAATAATTACTTTCATAAGTTTACGTATAATTGATTGATGTTTTTTACTTAATACAGGATATCCTTTGGCATTTTTTAAAAATATTTTTATGGGCAATATTACAGCTTTGAGTGGTTCTGCATACCATTTTTCAATTAAATGTTCATCAGGTAAATTTGCTGTTAATTCTAAAGCTAATAATCAATATAATATGAATACATCATACAATTAATTTAAAAGTGCTAAAAAAAAAAATTTTTTTTTGAATTAAAAATTCTAATTTACCAATGTTTAATTTGAAATGATGATCACAAAGTGTTCTGATTTTATTCCATCTTTCCCATGTAACAATTCTATCATTACTATCATCAATAGTCAATGGGATCTTAATCCAAATCTAATTATAATAATTACAAATCACAATTAGTTTAATCAAATCATCACAATGTACATATGGATATGGATGCATGAGTATATACTTGAGTATAAAGTAATCCACTAAAAATTGAATTTAAGCATCTGGCATAATTAAACAATAATTCTGATGGAAATGGTATTAAAACTGCTGTGAGTCCTAAATGAATTGCCCATGACAATTGCTGTTTTAAAGCCTTCAAAAATATGCGCAAATATATATTGATTAAATTAATATGAAGTTTTGGTTTTTTTCCATTAACAAAAAAACTTTGTATATTACTATTTCAGAATTTATTCGAATATTTTGATCAGATGAATCTAAATTTATCCATTCTGGAATTTTCCCTATAGTAATTTCACGATTATCTAATTATATGTAGAATTTCTTTTAATGATCTTATTATTTTCACAATAATCCTACATGCAAATTAATATTGATTTTACCGGCTGTTTTAATTACTAAATCATCTAAAGTTAATGGCATTCCATTTCTCCATTTCTCCAGTCCAACAGTTTCTTTGTTATTATGATTAACATTTTCAAATAAAAATCTTTTATAATTTGTATTTGTTAAAGGCAAGACAACAAAATCATAACCGAATTCTCTAGATTTTGAAACTGTCGTTATAGAATCAAGATCTTCTTGTGAATTATAGTAACCAATTGCAATTGTTGAAGTATTTGTTGAAGTATTGGTTGAAGTTTGTAAATTTGTCATTTTGCAAAAAAAAAAAAAAATCAAAAAGATTATCAATAAAAAAAACATTCTCGTGTACCGTAAAAAAAAATGCCAATTGATAAATTATCGTTTCGTCCACCTTTATCTTGGGTTGTTGAGGATATATCAAACGTTTATAAAGATCATACTAGACATTTTAAATCATACTCATTAAAGGACTTTTTTGAGTTAAAAAGAAATGCAGACGTTATAATTATAGCAGGCGAAGAACCCAATCAAAAAGAATTTTTAGCACATTCCAATATATTGAGAAAAGCATCTTCATATTTTGAAGTAGCGTTATCTGAAACATGGGCTAAAAGAGAAAATAACAAATATATTATTAAGAAAGATAATATTTCACCAGATGTATTATCATTTATACTTGAGTAAGTATATTTATTTTTTTAAAAAAACTTTTTCTCTGAAAAAAATTTATTAATAAAATAAAAAAATTTTATGTTTTTATGTATTTTATAGATTTATATATTCTAAATCTTCTACAATATCATCATCATCTTTTATAACATCTCCTTTTTTTCCTACATCATCATCATTATCGCCATTGACATCATCACCATTACCATCATCATCATCATCATATACTATTTTATCATATATAAAATGCTTTGATGGAAGAAAAATATTAGAAATATTAAATGCATCGGATGAATTATTAATATTATCAGATATGATTGATATTTTAAAGGAACAAATATTTACACTGGTATGGATCGAAGATAATTTTGATATAGCATTATTGATTTTATCATTTGGATGGTTTGAAAACACTTTTCTACATTGTTATTGCTTGAATGAAATAACTTTTTATCCTGAATTATTTTTTGAATCAGTTGAATTCTTCAATTTTTCAGAAAAGTTTTTAATAAAAATATTAAAATTAGATAATTTACAACTTGGAGAGATTGAAATATGGAATTATTTAATTAAATGGGGAAAATTTAAACTATATTCATCTAAACAAAAAGATGACGAGGAAGATGAGGATAGAGATAGAGATGAAAGTGAGGGAGATGTTGGAGATTTGTTAGAACATTGGAATATTCATAAATTTAAAGAATTAAAATTAATTTTAAAGAATTTATTAAGTTTCGTTAGATATAAAGAAATTACACTCAAACAATACAAAAAATATATTCTACCATATAAAGACATTTTGCCAGAAGAAATCAAGTTATATTTTGATAATTATAATGACATTTACTATTATTATCTAATAAAAGTTAGAAATCCTTTGATTGATAGAGACAATTTCAATTCAAATCTAATCAATATAGAACAAGCATTTTATTTACAAAAAGACATTTTCAATATAGATAACAATTTAAACACTTTTCTAAATGATAATAATAGAGCCATAATAGAGTTCAAATTATTATTACGTGGCAGTACAAATGGATTTGCATCAAAAAATTTTCACAAATTATGTGATAAAAAAAAACAAATCATTGTAGTAATAAAAATCAAAGAAAATAAGCAAATTATTGGCGGATATAATTCAGTTGGGTGGAATAATAATAATAGGAGTAATGACAATAGGAATAATGATGATAATAATAGTAATCATATTAAAACTTTTCTATTTTCATTTGGTAAAAAAGAAAAACCAGAATACAAAATATCAACATTTAAATCGAAAAACATTAAAACATTCGATGAAATCTCTTCAATAATTTATAATGATCTTAATTTTGGTCCATGTTTTGGATTAACGGATTTAATTATGAAAGATGACTTTAATTTAGAAGGAAATTGTAGTTCATTTGTTAATGATTATAAAGATTCCATCACCGATTTAAATAATTTCGCTGTTGAAGAATATGAAGTTTTTCAATTCATTGCTAAAAATAATAATAATAATAATAATAATAATAACAATAAATCTATTTAATTGTTTATAATAATAAACATTTGGTTTTTTTTATATATACAAATTAAAAGTATTTGATTAAATATGTACACAAATTTTATAAAAAAATTAAATCATTTATTGTAGAGACTTTATTAAATCATGAGAGAAAACTGTGGCTTGATTTGGTAAATTGTATTCAGCAAATGCTACTGAATTATGATATATTTGGTTCCATCCATCAACTGGTGTTTTTATTGTTCTAAGCATGTCTCCACCATGATTCAACTTGCCATAAATTATGGAATTATCAAGGATTGTAAATCTATTGTCTAAACTTCTACAAAGTGAATATATTATTGGATAAGTTGTCGATTTACTACCAGAAAAAATATGAACTTTTCCGTCTAATGAATTTTTCTCTAATTCATTCTTATCAATGTATTGATATCTCTGTTTCACAGAATCTAACAGAATTTCCTCTTCAATAAATGGCAAGATTGCGGCACCATTACGTTTTGTTTGATATGTTTTCGGGAAAAAATCCTTCAGAGGTGACTCGGGATTTGTAAGCAGGTCACGTAAAGATTCAGGTAGAAGATAGTTACTTGATGGTGGTATGATGCAAACTAATTGCTCAAATGGATTCATTGGGCAATCTGGAGTGAATTTTGGTTTGAATTCGCTAGGATTCACATATTTCAAAATTTCTCGAATGGTAGGTGATTTGTGATAAGGATAAAAAAATCTCCAACTGGGACAATCTCCATTATAATATAGAAATGACCAACACATTGTTTTTACGTAGTCATTGGCTCGATTTGAGAGTGTTGCTTCGTCAAGATCAAGATTATCTGACATTCGGCTACTTCTTCTTCTTAATGGATTGGAATTGATAATAAATTCCAAACACTCAAAGAATTGATGTAATCTGTTGAAATCGATTATCGGTTGTTGTTTTTGTCTTTTATTTGTGATGTAAGAGCCATTAGCCATATCAAAATATGTACTATAAGCTTGAAACAATAGATCAACAGATGCCTCACCAATATGCTTCAATCTTGGCATAAAATCATTTCCAAGTAGACTGACAAGAAATACAAAATCATCAATTAAATTATTCTCATCAACCCCTCCATCATGTATTGAAACTTTATTAGGGTTATTATTATTTAACATATCAACAATAATGTGTCGGCGTAGCTTGTGAATGTTCACCATTACACTATCACCAACAACTCCTGTTCGTAATATACGTATGTTAGGTTCATTGGTTAACAATGCGTACATTATAAAATCTGCATCACTTCCACATACAACATGTCGATTCCTTGAATTGTAACCAGGATGTGTACATTGTGTATTCAAATATCTAAAAATTTTGTGTTCACCCTCACCTGGTACTTTAGAATCATTAAATATTATTTGAAGTGTTTTATACTTCCAATTCAAACGTTGATATATATAATATCTAATTGCTTCATTTGCTGCAGCCATAAAATCTGTTCCTGCTGAAATTGAAACGGAATCTATTGGGACAAAAAATCCTAAATTTTCACTATTTTTTATGTTATCACCGCTACCACCGTTACTGTTTCTAATTTGGTTATGTATATTGAAGTTATCATTTTGATAAATATATCTTCGTGATCTCTGTTCATTCATCTTAGCCCTTGGTGCAACACCATCCATTGCAATGTAAACAAGCTGTGGCTTACATTTCTCTATAGTAAAATCCATTTCATGAAATACTCTTGATAACATTTGACGCGGATTTTTTGGTTTTCTTGATTGATTTTTAGATAATGCAATATGAAATAGAGCATTAATATCTAAATATAAAAAATCGGCTTTATTACTTTTTGGAGTTATTTTTTTTTTCGTTGCATCAACTATATGAGGATAACGTATATAAAGCCTTTTGAAAAGACCCGGAATACCCATTTTTTTAAAAAAATTTTTTTTTGATAATTTCGATAAGTGGATGATCGCACAAATATTACGCCCAGAGATAATACTTATTATATTAATAACAGAAAGTTTTACAAATTTACACAAACGCACAAAAAAACTTTTTTTTTTTTTTTTTTGAATTTTGAAATATAATTAAAATATATAAATATATTAAACGAAAATAAAAAATGTCAAAGACATCAGAGGTAGTGGTAGATGTAAGATGTGAAGTAAAAGGGAAAATTGGAACAGTACGTTACGTAGGACATACCTCTTTTGCATCTGGAAAATGGGTTGGGGTAGAATTAGATGAACCATCAGGAAAAAATGATGGCTCGGTCGACGGCACGCATTACTTTGATTGTAGACCAGGTCATGGTGTTTTTTTTAGAGCGTCACAAGTTAGATTATTAAGTGAACCAATTACTTTACAACAAACTCAGGTATAGTATTTTAAAATTGGTTTTTTCCGATATATAAATAAGTAAATAACAAATAAATAAATTTGTAAATGTATAGTCACAAACAAGTTTTGCTCCACCGAACGAAATAAATGGCGTTCGATCAATTCGTCCACCTTCAATAGTAGGTCTATCAAAATTAAATAATGGTACTGCTGCGTCAGGAATACCTAGTAGGCAATCAACAAAAGGGCCAAATACGCCAACAAATCCAAGATATAGTCTTCGTAGAATGAGTGGTCAATCATTTACCAGAAGGTCAAGAGGAAATTCTGATGCAAGTAGCATAGATGGCAGAAAATTTGACATTGATTCTTTGGAATATGATGAAGATATGTCAGAGATGAATGACAGTAATATTTTGACTGAAGAATCGGAATCTTTTGAATTTAGCGAATCAGATCTCATCAACTCTTTATCATTTAAACAAGATTCTAATAATAGGTCAGATATGCCACAAAGACCAGAATCAATGATTTTCCAAGACCCATTTTCTTTACAAGAAACATCTGCTACACGTGAACAGGTTTTAAATTATTATAATTTTTGTTTAATGTTTATTATTTAAATATACCATATTCATGCTCAAAATCATATGTATATATGATTTATATAGACTATCCCATTGAAAGATTATGAAGAATTAAGGTTAAAACTTAAAATATTAGAAAATAAACGTCAAGATGATCGCGAAAAGTTTCGTGAAAACGAAAAATTGAGAGCCGAAGCTGAACAATTTTTAAGTGTCAAGCCAAAACTTCAAGGTAAGAAATAAAATATTTATTTCAGCATATAAATTCACGTATATATTTATATGCATATCTTCTTATATTCGTATGATATTAATAATTATATAATTATGTCCAAAACATTAGCTAAAATGACTGAAATGCAACAAGAATTACGTGAGCTGAGAAAACAAATGAAAGATATCACAGCCGAAAAAGACTTATTTGAAAACAAGTTCACTGAATCAATGGAATCTATGGAGATAATGACTCTTGATAAAGAGATGGCGGAAGAAAAGGCAGAAAATTTACAACATGAAGTCAATTTATTAAAAGAAAAAATTGAAGAAATTAGTGTTGACTTGAATGTTTTCAAACAAGAAGGTGGTAAGTTATCATCACTTATTTTTAAATTTCAAATTTATGTTACGATAATATATATAATTATTATCGACGTTATGTTTTTACACTAGATATGATCAGTCAAATTGATGGCGAAGGAAGAACAACACTAGAAACTATACAATTAGAGAGGCATAATGCAAGATTAAAAGAAGCTCTTGTCAAGTAATTAATTCACTGTGTCTAATATTTATTCCCTTTTGATTGTTTGACGATAATAACAAAATTATATTATATTGTAATTTTTACTTTATTAATAATAGACTCCGAGATATGGCAGGTGAACAAGAAGCCGATTTAAATAAAAAAATCAAATTTTTAGAAAAAGAATTAGCAAATTATCATGAATTACAAGGTTAATTGATTAATTATATACTTATTATTATCTTAGTACAAATATTAATATCGAAAAATTATTATTTAAATTACATAGCACATTCTGAACAGCTAAAACAGAAACTAGAGTTAGCTGAAAGTCAAGTTGAAGATTTGAAAGATCGTTTAGATGATGCAGTACATGCTGACGAAATGCTTGAAGCACTGGCCGAAAAGGATTTGGCTCAAGGCGAAGTAATAAAGAATATAACTTTATCATCACTATTTACAATATAGTGAAAATTTTATTCATTTATTTATTTATTATTAATATTAATATTAATATTATTAGAAAATTGAAGAAATGAGAGCAACAATAGAAGATCTTGAGGCCTTGAAAGAATTAAATGATGAACTTGAAGAAAACCATATGGAAAATGAAAAACAAATGCAAGCTGAAATAGGTACTGAAAAAAAGATTTATAATATTTAATATATGTTCCCAAAGGATAATAGAAACTTGATTGATTTTTTTAAAAAAATTGTTATAGATCATAAAGACATGTTAGTTCGTGAATATGTTAAACGTCTTGAAATAGCTGATGAAGCCAATGCGGATTATGAAAATACCATTAATCAATTCCGTGAACTTGTATGCAATTTACAAAGGTCGGTTTATAATTATAATATTTTGATTTTATATATATATATATATATAACATGATGATTTAAAAAATAAAATTTTTTTTTTGAATCACAAACTTTAAATTTAGTGATTTGGAACAATTACGTCAAAAAGAAGAAAGCCAATATTCCGAGTCAAAGAATCTTAGTAGTCAATCTAGAGCCATGTTAAATTTGAATTTCCAATTACAGTCTACAGTTTTGAAAGCACAAGCAAAACAAATTGATTTGGAATTGAGAAAATTGGATGCCGCACAAGCACTAGAAAACTTGGCTTTTGTACAGGTAATGAATTACTTAATGTTACTAATTTTTAGTTCCTTAAAAATTTTTTTAAAAAAAATTAATATTAAATATTGCCTTTTCTTCTAATTAGCCTTATCTTCCAGATAATTTCTTCCAAACAGATAATGATTCAATTCGCTGTTTACTTTTATGGAAAAGACTTGTATTTAAATCAGATTTAATTATCAAACAAATGGATCAAGTTCATAATGTTACAGAAAAATTAAATACTGTTGTTCCAGAAGAATTAATTTCAGTTTGTGTAGTAAGTAATTAGAGCTTTGATTTAAAAAATTTAATTTATTAGTGGTATTATTTAGATAATTTAATAGCTAATTTTGTTAATTTATTATTATTATCGTTATTTATGATATAAAGTTAAAACAAAAATTGGCATGGTTTTCTGATTTAGGAAAAAGATTCGTATCATTTATGAGTAATTGCCCTGTTGAAACCTTTGTTAAAATGGGTCAAGTTTATCATGAATTAATTGGAACCGAGAAAAGGTGATGATTGAATCATATTAATTGAAACATCTTTATAAAACCTTTAATATAAGTACCTAATACATATATGTGTGTGCTATTTGATTATATATTATTACTATTATTATTATTATAGACTTCATCATATAGTAGATTTGTTAAGAAAGGAAGATCTCAAAGAATCTGAATATATCATTGATGTTCAAAGGTGAGCTAATATAATAACAATAATATTGAAGATTGTTTATTGATTTAATGATTTGTCCCATTTCTCTAACTCTTTTTTTCAAATAGATCTATTGCTCAGCTTGAACATTTAGCAGAAATTTATCTTTTGAATACGAAACATGACGACCCTGATAAATTTTATGCTTATGGCCACGCATTAGAAATGAATGCTGATACAATTGCAGTAACCCTTGGACACCTAAAACAAGCAGTGGTTATCGCATGTAAAGATGAAGGTAAGTTAGATTATATAAAGTCATAGGAAAAATTGGAATATATGTGTGTGTTCATTATCATATTTACTCTCACTGATTATTTATCTAATTTAGAAATTCAAGTAGCAGATTCATTTGAATCATTTAATGATGAATTCTTCCAGCCATTGCAATCCATAGTATCACAAGCAAGAAGTAGTAAAGTCATGGTTAACAAACTACTTCGTCGATTAGACGATTTAATTGGTCAATCATCAACTTTAAGATCAGAATTCTTACCACAATTCAAAATGTGCTCTTCAATCTGTTCAAAATTAACCAATTTCTGTCAAGAAGTACGTGTAAATTTGGAATTTAAGTTAATAATTTTCATCATTTTTTTATATCTAAATTAATCTTAATCTTTTTATTCAGGTTAATAAAGGCATTTTGGAATATATTAATAAAGTAAAAGATACCAAAGAAGAATTGTCACTTGTTAATTTACATAAAATCATATATCAACTTACAGAGGACATATTAAGCATTAATGAATTGAGTATATGGGAAGGATGTACTAAATCATTACAAACATTATGTCAAGAAATAAATAATTTAAGCAATGTTGCTAGTGACGTTGACAATGTTGTTAACGGTAAGTATTTACTTACTTATTCACACATATATTTTATTATGATTATAATCATTTATTTATTACTATCTATTTTTTTATAGTTGTCAAGACAGAAACGCCTTGGGTTGTTAGATCTAAACAGATAAAGGCAGAAGTTCTTGTAAACGTTGATATGGAACGTAAATTACAACAGTCAGGGGAAGAAATTCGTGAATTGAGAAAGGAAGTCAAACTGAAGGTATTGACATAAATTAGACAATTCATTTTTTATTTTTATTTTATTTTAAAAACCAATTTTTAAATCATAAATAAAATGTTTTTTCCAATTAGGATCAAGCTTTACAAGAAAATGGAGTAAAAATTGATTTATTGGAGAAACGTATGGATACATATAAGAAACAAGCTGAGATGGTTGTTTCATTAGAAGAAGAACTTGCAAATTCAAGAAAACATGAGAATGCTTTTGAAGAAGCTATGGAAAGTTTACAACAAGAACTTGAAGGTTTGGAGAATGAAAATAAACAATTTAAAGATGTTGCATTGAAAATTGGCGAAAGTGGAATAGGATCTCCTCCACCGCAATACAAAAAAGATGAACATGACGACTATTCCAATGGATTTACTGAAACTGATCCACTTGAAATTCAAAGATTTGCTAACCAGGTATGCAAACATACAGATATATAAAATATTATTATTTTTTTTAAATTACTAATCCTATTACTATTAATGTTGTTTTAGATTGAATCTTTAAAATTTGCTGTTAGATATCTTCGTGCAGAAAATGCTCATTTGAAAGGCAAAGATGCATTAAATGTTTTATATTGGCATCTTGATTCCAAGAAACACTTGAAAAATCCAAATAATAACGATAAGTTACTTAAATCTGTATCGACGGAAGCCAAATCATTACTTAAAGTAAGATTTTTTTTTTAATTTTTTTTAAAAAAAAAAAAGGAAAGTTAACTTATATATTACATATATAATATAGGATTTCCGAACTGTTAGTGCATCACCCCGTGTTGTAGATTTAACAAAAGTATATAAGAATCGCAAACAATGGATGCCTTTAAATAAAAAACCAGATTATCAATATCAAGCACAGCAAACAGTGCTACACACATTGCAACAACGAACAAATGAATTAAAATCAAAACTTCATCAACTTGGCAGAAACACTCATTTCCAAAAACCTCCAAAGGTTAGTAGTAGTGATAACATTAAAAATTTAATAAGAAAAATTACACAAATTACAAATTGTTAAATTATCATAAATATTGTTATTTTTAGGGAACTGCTATTTCAACAAAACCACCATTTATTGGACGTATTAGAGTGCCACAATTAGACAATGATAATAATAAGCATAGTGATAATAACGGCGATTATAAATCTTCTATAATTCATAATATTAAACTCAAAACACCTTCAGATTTTGAAAATATTCATACCGTTTTTGTAAATTAAATCAATTATATAATATAACAATAATATTATTGATAACATTAATTTTAATTAAAATAGATGTATATTAATTATAATTAAAAATATACAAAAAAAATTAGAATAGTAATTAATAGTAATATTTAATTTGTTTATTTTGTTTATTTTATTTTATTTATTTTAAAATTATATAATATATATATATATGTATAGATTGAGATTTTTATTATTAATTAAAAAAAAAGTGAATATTTCACACCTGAAATATAACAAATATCAAATGCGTAAAGACACAAATGATATAATTATAATTATAATAACCACGAGAATTTTCAAAGGCACAAATTACTAACGATATTATTATTCAAATCTTTAAAGAAAAAAATATGATATAAATAATGGTAAGCTTCGGAAGAAAATTTATTACGTAGTAGTAATGAAGAGTTTATAGATAGCCCTTTTCTGTGAAAAGTATGGTTACTTTTTTTATCAAGTCAAAAAAAAAATGCCGTTCACAATATTTGGTTTTTAGTTTTGCTTTTAAATGCGTTTTCCGAACCATTTATAGCTTCTATACTTGTAAGTTTTTATTCTTGAGATTAAACTGTAAAATCAATTTTTTTAAGATCACTAATATTAATCGCATGCTTAATAAAAATAGCAATGAACTATCGTTAGGATAAAATATTAATATTAATAATCAAGGTTCGCTAGACTGTATATTCAACTTCACTTGCAGTAAATATAAGCACTGCGAACGAATTAATAATTTGCAACCAACCAACCAATCACCTTTGTGCAGGCAGTAAGAACACCATTGCAAGTATCCTTTTTGTCATCGTTGACGTCAATAATGAATGAATGTATCATACTAAATGCATAAAAATCATTTTTATTATAAAGTTGGTGTTTTTCGTGTAAAACAAGCATGATACTTTTTCCAATATTGAGGCAGTTGCCATGGTCGTATTAATAATATATTGACATACTTGTTCTTTCAAATTGAAATTAATTACCCGCCCCTTCGATAATGCTTCGCGGAGTACACAATGCTCTAGATCTCAGGAAATATGACTGCCCCAAATGAGAGATCCGAGTAGACATTCAGTTAAGTGGTCTTGAAATATATGAGTCAGAGACTCTATGCTCTGCATATTTCGCATTTTTAAATGTTTATCCGATTTCCCTGTAATAAAAAGTGAAAGGAAAGTTTAACACACATTAATATCAAGATTACCTCATATGGAACATCGTCTATCCTGCCAATATATCAAGAATGATGGAACGATCTGTGGGAAAGGATGCTGGCATAGCACAGAGTGCTCCAGACATTTTAGATCACGTCCC